GCTAGAAGGCTAAGTGGGTTTGCCAGATAAAATACAGGACGCCCAGTTCAATCTAACTTTCAGATAAACAAGGAATAATTTATAGTATAAGTATGTCCCACGCAATATTTGGGATACACTTATACTAAAAAAATTATTTCTTGTTCATCCTAAATTCAAATTTTACTGGGAATCCTGTAGTTTTATTTGCTAATTTGGGAACTCTATGAGTTGCGTTTGTACAAAGGTGATGGAGGGTGTTAGGAAGAAAACAGCATGTGCTAACAGCACGTGCAAAGGATGGGAAGCAAGGGAGAAGCTGTTGAGTTGGGAAAGTGCAAGTACTTCCCTGAGCCTGGAGACTGGGGTGGACAGCGGGAGGGGTGGGAGCTGAGGTTGCAGAGACTTTGGAGGGCAAGACCTGGATGTCCTACTGGAGTCTGGGTTTCTTCCTGTGGACAATCAAAAAGTCTAGAAGGGTTGTAGTGACAGAAATAGTCCATCAGATATTTTTGTTTCTATTTTAGAAGTCATGTTATAAAATATGCATTTTATTTTTAGTTCCCTCCTTTCTGGAAGGTGACATATAAATTCCACAATTTATATATTTATAAATAAATTAGTATATTCATAAATGAATACAAATTGCCAAGCCCAGTTTGACAAAGTGTTGTCTGGAGAATGAGCAGGTGGGTCCATCCGACAGTGGGGTGGCGGCTGTGACCGTGGCCTTGTCATTCAGGGCATGGCTGACAGCATTTTCCCAAGTCCCCTGCTGGTCACTTAGGGTGGGCACTGATGCTAAGGTGGTCTAGTGGGTAGAAATGATAGGGAGCAGAGTTTCCCTTGAGGAAAGGAAGAACATTCTAGAGGAGTTGCCTGAACCTGGTGGCTGTGTCCCAAAGAAAAGAAGGGGCCAGTGGTGGTGGCTGGGCTGCTTAGCCAGCCCCATCAAGAACGGTGCAGAGGTTCAACGATACTGTACCGTACACTGGAAAATTTGTTAAGAGGGTAGATCTCATGTTAAGTGTTCTTACAATAAAATAAATAAATAAAAAAGAATGGTGCAGAGGGATGATTGTATGTGGCAGAGTCAGGGCTGGACTTTACCTTCAACTCCGAACTTTTATGATTCTTCTCAGACATTCCTGAACCCCAGAGAGCAGGTCAGGCCAGTTCCTGAGTCAGAGGGGCTCAGGATCAACAGGATTCGTGTGATATTTGCACCTCCACAGAGGCGGAATGGAAAAGAAGCTTGTCCAAGTAAGAACATTACTGTGCCTCTTGCTGTCTTGTATGGAACACCACTTTAACCTGTCAGACTGCACTGGAAGCCCAACCATGTGCCTCATGACACTAAATGTTGAGAACGCACGTATTTTATTTCATGAGGTAGCAGGGCAGCACTAACAGTGCTGATTTACAGATGAGAACTGTAAGGCCAGAGGGATAAAGTGCGAGTCACCCTGCCTGTGACTGGGTTTACCTCCCTATTGCCTGATTCTGGACCAGAATGCTTCTCTCTGAATTGCACCAGACTCACCACCACCCGGTCACAGGTGGGAGACCCTCCTGCCCTGCTGCCCACTGCTGGCTGATGGAGAGGATGCTGAATGTATCTTTGGAGAGTGTCATAAAAATCACTGATGGTATGATAATGGAACAGAACAGGAGGAACAGGCTCAAATCCTGGCCCCCGCCCCACCCCTGGTTTTTCTAGAAGAGGTGAGGAAGGAGCTCTGTGTGGGAAGAGGACACCAGGTCGGCACCTGGGAGGCCCCTCAGTCACCCTGCTTGGTGATTTCTGTTCCCGGGTGGCAGTCAGCTTTGGGCAATGAGGAGACTGAAGAATGCCTTCTTAAGCTGGTGTTACAAAGCAACAGGGAATGCACCTCCAGTTTTCATGTGTGGGCCTCCGGCAGTGTGGGAAAATCAGAACTTTTTTGAAATGAAAAACAGAAGTTTAAAGTTGTATTTTGCCCCTGCTCATTTAAGCCATTCAAGGAGGAATGTGCCGCGTGGCTCACAGCTCCCATACTTGAGATCCCCAGTTTCTGGGAGCTCTGTCATGTCACTAACATGTTTAAAGAAACTTTGTTCTAGAACTTTCTCCTCTACACACACACATTCTTGCCATTAGGGAAAAGGAGACTGGGCTTTGAAGTGCAAAGTTTTGATAATATGAAAAAGGACCAAAAAACAAAACAAAACAAATAAAAACCCTGTATGCACCTCAAAAATCTGAAGTCTTCCGGCTGTTCTACCTGATGATGTTACCCAGTGTGTGAACTGACTGGCAGTGGGCGGTCATTCTGCAAAATCCCAGGTGTGGGTTCAAATCTATCAGTGGGACTGAGACCTAGAGTCCTTCCTTTCTACCTGTGCCTCCAAGGAGCCAGAAATGTACTGGGTTAGGATTCTGGGGTCTTACACCCATACTCCCTGTTTGTCCTTGAGACACTTGTGTCCCTGCCGTGCCCAAGAGGCCTCTCTAAAGCAGGAAGACCATTTGGGGGTGGAGTGGTGAGCTGGGGGTTGAGGGTGATCAGAGTCAGTGGGGAACAACCAGACATAGGCTAGGTCCTCCCATGAAGGGGTCTTGTGAGATTTACTTCTGACTTGAGACCTCCAGCACTGGTGGAGGTGCAGTCACTTGGACTAATTTCCAGCATTTTAATGCTGGACAGACCCAAGTCTTCCACCATTTGGGGAAACTGTGCAAACACGAGTGAGAGGTCAGCCAAGCCTGGATGCGGAGGTGTGAGGATGTTATCTAGTAACACAACTCCTTCCGAGGAGTGAGTAAACAGACACATTTGGCTTGGGACTGAGGGCATGGCTGTAGGAGAGAAAAGGACCCCTACCAAACAGCATTTTTCTCTAACTGCCCCTTGAACTGAGACACAGTTGCCGGGTCTCCTGCGGTCTAGTCTCTGTGAGGAATGTCTTCCCCAGCTTCTGCACTGAGCGTTACCAATTGTTTAGGGATTAACCCTTTGCCACCCAAAGTCTTGCTCTGTCTCCCTCCACCTCTTTCCCTCCGTCTGCCCCTCTCGCTTCGGGGCAGTCTTCATTAGCTTAGAAACGACAGAGAAGTTAACCATCTGCAGACGCCTCCTGTGTGCACAGTGAACCACAATCTCTGTATGGGCATAGTGCTTTAAGAAGAGAGCCTTGCTCCTTCACAGACTCTAGGAGTTTTACTTGGAATCTGTCCATCAAGAAATTTGGTCTGCAGAGTCCAAAGCAGGCTTCCCCAGAGCTTTACAAACAAGCTGGCCGGGCAAGGCAGCGCCTCCTATGGTGCCTGCCTTGAGCTCTAAGATCTGTGGCCCATTTGCCAAATGGGGCAGTACCACACTGCTCAGATATGGTTTTCAGCATCCTTGGCTTCCCCCCACCCACACTTCAGGGCGCAAGCAGTGTGGAGACCCAGCGAACTTCATGAACTGCTTGCTGTTGTCTCCTGTCCCTGGAGTCAGTCATGGTCACCCTCGCAGCTTTCTGGAGCTCGACCCTCCCTCTCAGGGTAATATTGGAAACATACACAGAGTTCCCAGAAACTCTGAGGTGGCGGGTGGCAGGGAGACTTCTGTTCCTGGAGGGCTGGATGAGAAGGCCAGGCTGTGTTTCTAACACTCTCCTCCTGCCATTTGCCTTAGTGGGGACCCTTGGTTTTTGACTTGAGGGTCTTGGGCAGCTCTGAATGTAGCATGTGTGTGAGTGATGGACTTGATATTTACACAAGCCACGCTGATAAGTGCACATGTGTTTTTAATGTTTTGGTTTTCTACACCACAAACATGTCAATGTGTATATGCGTCCACACACAGACGTGCTGTCGGACTACGACTTGAGTAGGGTTTTTTCCTTTCCTTTTTCTTTTTTCAACTGTCCTCCCAAAGCTAACACCTTTGTGAGCAATATTTCCCGCCACACTGAGCAACATTTACCTCCTGCCTCCGGTATTGTTTGCGAGCCATCATCAGGTTGTCCCACCTGGAAAGGTGCTGCATTTTTAAACCAGCAAACAACCCCAGCTACACCGTCCCCTTGTCTTGGCGGGAGCCGAGCCCGACGGGCTGGGAATTTAAACGCAGGCTTCGGTCGCTTCACCCTTCCTGAGTCCCGGGTTGTCGGGAAAAGGCCTTTGTACTGCAGCTACAGAGAACAAAACCGAGGGGGTGAGCTGCTTGTCTGCTGGGCTGCTGCTTGAAATTAGGAAAAAGTATAAAAAAAGGTCTTCATTATCTCATGGATTTCCAAATACTGTTAAGGTTCCTTTCTTTTCTGCGAGCCACGTAAATTACAGCGTTCAACGTTGTCTTTATCCGCCCCACACTGCGATCTATTCCCTCTTTCTTTTCTTTTCCTATTTCCTCTCTTTTCCTCCTCCGTCTTCTTTGCTTTCTTTATGTTTTTAGTTTTGTTTTTTAAGGGGTGTTGATCTGTGTTTAGTTCTAGTAAACTGAGCCCTCTTGCAAGTGAAGCGATTGGTTAATTGCGCCGGTGACTGACGTGCTAAACGAGTGCGGCTGGCCGCAGCCGGGAGCTGATTGGCTGCGCGGGCGACTCCGAGGGCTCTGCAACAGGCGCGCCGGGCACTCGAGCGCTGCAGCCTCGGGAGTCGGTGCCGCGCG